TTTCAGAATGCGCTTGGGCCTGCAGGGACTGGCGGGAGGCGTCGTGTTCGGCACGGTGTTTGGGTGAGTTGCCACTGCTGCCCGTGGGCGAGCGAGACACGGCTACTCTCAAAGGGTGTGTGTTAGAAGGTGGCCTCACACACCACGCCTGGAATCATAGGTGGGACTACAGAACCTTCCTGTCTTCTCTTGCTTGAAGGGGTTTTCTGTATCTCTCTTCATGATGATGACTTTTCTACCAACCTTTAAACTGTTTTGGGGTTTTTTTTTTTCTTCTTTTTTCCTTGATTTGCGTTTTGCTGCTTTCCTCAGTGGTAACAATTCAATAGAGCATCTGACTGGCTGCTGTTTGCTTGTTAGAGGAGACACTAATTGCTGGTAAATAGGAAATGATGAGGATGGGTTATAGACATGTCTCCTGTCCCCCTTCCTTGCTGTGGTCACTAATGAGCCCAGTGGCTGTGTGTGGAACCATTGGGACGTTGTTTTAAGGACCTGTGGGTAAAGTATAAGGGGTGTATAGGGGAGTATAAGGGATGTATAAGCAGGAGTATAAGGGATGCAGCTTCTGGGCTCCCTTCTCAGCCTCAGCAGCACCTGCTCCTGTAGCAGCTCAGAATCCAGGTGGTGCACAAGGGGTGCTGGATGCCATCATGGCACCTTCTGAAGAACTGCCAGCCCCTGGGTTAGGAATTTGTGTAAAAATGGGGGGTTTTTTTGTTACAAACCAGGCTCCATCAAAGCCAAAATGTGGAGCAGCAGCCAGTAGGGAATGCTGAGGTTGGGCTGCACAGCCCAAGGCTGTAAGGTGGCACATCTTGCAGTCATGTATCTCCTAAAGCTCCCTGGGGCATGGAGGAACCCGTGGTTCTCTCTCAGGGGGCTCTGTCCATCAGGACAATGACCTCTTAAGTCAGAATTCTGACTTTTCAAGCAGAGTTGGGATTACTTCTCAAAGTGCTGACTTGTGAATATCCTCACAGGGGAGTTTGGAGATCCTTGTCCTGCCTGGACAAGAGAATGAGCTTTGTATTTATTGGGAGCTTTACCAATGAAAACACAAATACCTCCAGAGCTGGACAGGAGTGTGACCATCTCGATTATGGGTTAGGTGATCTAGAGGGGTTGTTTGGGCACCTTAAATCCTTCCAGCCCTTTGCCCTCTGTGTGCCTGTCAAGGAGTAAATTCAAAATATGTCACAGAAGGGTTACAGTGAGTCACAGCTGGGGACAGGCTGCGTGGGGTGGCTGACAGGAGATCAGGAGAACCTCAGGCTGTGCTGTGATCTACCGGGGAACGTTACACCCCGCTGCTCTGGTGGCCGGCCCCCGCATGCTCCTTTTGGTGATGCCAGTAAGTTATGACTGTTGTGTGTCCCCTGGGTGACTTGTGACTTTTCTCCTTCCTCCTCTAGGATCCCTGCCGGGGGCCTGTTGATGATAATGCAGAAACTTAGCGGTGAGACCTTGCAGGAGAAGAGGAATCGCGAGCGCAGGGAGCTGTATGAGCAGAAGTTAGCAGAGTGGTAAGGGACAGCTCTGCCTGTTTGACTCTTTGGCTGGAAGTATGTCTAGATGTGGTTCAAACATTGAAAGAAACCATGACAACACCAGGTTTTTCTCAACAGTTTGTTTGCTCTTCACTTTTTGGTGTGTTTCACATACCAGTCTGAGATCTGATTTAATCTTCCCAGGATGAGATATTGCTGCTTAATCTGTAACAAGGTATTTTGTTCAGAATTCCTGCCTGGCTGCTGCCCAGTATCTCTGCATCCATTTTTCCCTTTCACAGTGGCTGAGCAGACAAGCAGGGCAAGCACATGAGTATTTATGTACCAAAATTGAGAGAGGCCAGAACACTGGCTTTTCCTTTGTTGTTGCCTTCTTTCCATCCCCGTTAAGAAGAGAAAAGGCTGGCTGGAGGCTCTGGGGAGAAAAAAAAAAAACCCAAAACCTCACCAATAGTGCCAGTTCTAGAAGAAACTTTCCCAAGCGTTGGGGTTCTGCAGTGATGCCTTTGTCAGGAGGACACAGGCACACAATTACTTTGCTCTCTCTCTCTTCTCTCGTTAGGCAATCCAGGCTCACCATGACTGAATTATTAGGCCAAACGGAAAGCAACGTCCAGGAAGGACCAGAGATGGTGAGAGAAGGAGAATCGAGGAGCTACTGAGTCTGCCCCAGATCTCTGTTGTAAGCAGCTACAAAAGTATTTTGATTCTGCTCATAAAAGTCTTCAGTCAAGGGGGTCACGGAAGAGTCTTCTGTGAACAACCACAGTGACATCCTGTGCAGGTGTGGAAAAGCATTTTGCTGACAACCTTGTTCATGGCTGTGGATCACTGCACAGGAGTTTGGGAGGGACAAACCTGTTCTGCCTGAGAAGGTGGAAACGCAGGCTCTGCAGACTAGGAAGTGTCATCTCAGTTTTGCAGGGGGTGAGGGCAGCCCCAGAGCCTCATCTTAGAATCCATTTCACTGCTGAAAACGTCTAAACCACCAGTGATGTAGGAATATTTAAGGAAAAGGAGAACTAGGAATAGTTTGGATGCTGAAGGGACCCTGATTCCAGAAGCTGATGGTGCCTTGGTGAAAGCTGCTCTTCAGCCAGCGCCTGGAGAACGTGCTGAGACCCAGAGCAAGGGGGGTCTCCTCTGCTCGCCATCCCCCTCCCACAGCTGGGCTTGCCCACACTGGGACCAGTGCTGTTTGGCTGGTGGTGGCTTCCTCAGGCTTTTTTTGCAAAAAAAACCCCACACTTGGTTCCTACAGTACTTGGGGTGTTTTGTAATCAAGGTTGAGTAAGGGTGGAGGAGCTGGGAATGATGTGGAAATACCCTGAAAAAGACATGTTTTGGGTTCCTCAAGAGAAGTGTGGCTGAGCAGGGGCTGGATGACTTGTTTCTGGTGGTGATGGGGGAAAGAATTGGTACCGTGGAGAGTTTTTAACAGTCCAAAAGGCCTCTCATTTCATTTGAAGGTTGGCAATTAGGGGATTACCTTTGGGGGAAAGGTGGTTCAAGACATTCAATAAAGGCGTTTAGCAGCGGTGAGTGTGTCTGTAAGGTCTTTATGTTAGTACAGGCTCTACTTTATGTATTGGAGAAACAAACTCGAGTGATACCCCATGAAAGAGGTTGATCTAAGATCCCACCAGCGAGCAGTGAAGCCTGGTGGCAGTGTGGGACCTTCCTCTCAAGACAAGAGCCAGGAGAGTGCTGCCAGCTCTATTTGTTGTTGTACCAGAGGTCAGCTGTGAAGTTGTAGCTGTTACATGTGGAGAGGGCTGGAGTTAATGCAGTAACAGGCTGTACCCAGGTGGCCCATCACCCTGAGCAGCAGGTCTGGTCCCCTTTCTTTGGGTTTTGGGGGTTGCTTTTGGTTTTTTTCTCTTATTAAAGAGAATTCCATCCAGGCAGGTTTGGGCATCCTTCCCCCACACACACAGAGCGTAGTCAGTGTGTTCTGGTTGACAGCTTTTCTGTTACAGCTGATTCCTGTTGATTGAAATATGAACAGTCAATTCCACCCACCCAAAGCAGGTTTTTTGGCACAGCTTGCTGCCAAGGTGCTGCTGTGGGGTTTTTTTTGACATCTAAAAAAAAAAAAAAAAGAGCATTTTATTTTTTTTAAACACCTCAGAGTAGTTCATTTTTCCATTGAAAAAAAATAATTGTAGTTGTCTTCAAGCAGCTTTGATTTTTCCTTTTCTGTGTGTAAGTGAAGGGTGTGAATAAGCAGAGGTATGGATATGGTTCTCCCTCTCCCTGTTTTGAGCTCTGTGTGCATTGGTGACAGGAGTGTTATTGTCTTCTGCTCCTTCAAACCAAACCAGGCCTTTTGCAGGCACGTTTTTGCCACTGTGGTTACAATCTTTCTCTTTTCTCTTCTTTTTTTTTGCTGTTCCATCCCCAGCCAGTACCCCAGGCTCTGATCTGTACAGCAGTGCTGATGACATTTAGCTGTGTCACTGCTCAGTCTCTCCTGTTCCTGGTCAGTGCTATTTGATGTGATGTCTGAGGAATACTAATTTTCCTGTGTCTGACCATTGATGCAGGGATGTTCTTCCACAGGAGGGTAGCAGGTGTGTGGATTTTCTCTCCCTGGAAGGAAGGATGAGCTGCTAAAAGTCCTTATGCTGCACATGTGTCAGGGGAAGCAGAGATTTCCACCTGTGCTCAAGGTTAGCAGCCATTTTTTTCTCTGTTTTCCTCCCAAATTTAGTTCCCTGCACTTTCTCAGAATTTCTGGTGTTCAAAGTCACTCTGCAAACAAGGGGGACAGAGTTGGTTCAGAGCTTGTTTTTTAAATACAAATAGAAGGGATTTTACTCTCCCCCCAGCAACTGCACAGCACTGAAGTTACTGGTGCTGCACTTCCAGAGTCAGTAACACAAGTAGTGCAGATGCAGCGAGAACATCTCACCCTGGATTTTGATTTTGCACAGAACCTCCTTTTTTTTTGGGGAGGAAGAAGGAGAACCTGTCACAAACAGAGTGTCGAGCACCACAGCTACACTGCTCAGTTAATCCCTGGCAGAGGTGACAGTTCCCTGCTGGATCCCCCAGTGCCACTGTGTCACTGCTGTTGTACACACCAAACAGAGTGTGGCTTGATGGCAGCTGTACCTGTTACAGCTTTGTCACCCCCCCTGTGTCACCCACCTTGATGCCACACAATGTATGATGATGTTGGCAGCTGTAAAGTGGTGGCTGGGGCTCAGCACATGCCTTATTTAAATGCTCTACCCCTATCCCAGCACATCTTTTATTACTGAGGAAAGGAAACTGAGTTTACCATTTATTTTTTAATACAATTAAAGGAGGAACCCTGAGGAAAAAAAAAAAAGTTATATACAAAATACCTGTGATAAACAGAGCAGCTCACCTGGTACGAAGAACCAGAGATTAAGCTGAAAAGGTCTCACAGAAACCATTTGTGTGCAATTCAGTGAATACAGCACAAGGCAACAGAAAACATGATTCATACTGTAAGTGCTTAAGGAAAAAAAATAAAGGAAATAACCTGCCCATCAAGAACAAAAAAACCCCTGATGTTAGACATGTTTGTCAGTGAAACTTTTTGTTTCCTTCAGAAGGAGTTAATTAAAGTGTCACAGGAGTCTGTGGTGATGTGGAAAGGTTTGGCACGGTGCAAAAGACAAACCCTTCTCCGGGAGGCTGTGCAATCATCAGCCAGAAGGAGAGGAGGGGACAGTCAGAGGGAAAAACAAGGTTGTGCTGGTACAACTGTCAGAGCTGTGGTGGAGCTGGTGAGGTGGGAATGCAGCGTGGGGGTAGCAGGGAAGGAAGCACAATGTTGAAAATGAGTAAAGTAAATACAAAAAGAAGGTGTCCAGCCTGCAAGAAGAGAGTAGTTGGTACTGGAAAGAACAAGCACAGACTGAAAGAAAAGGAAACTTGAAAAGCATGAGAGGTGATTGCCCACACACCGAGTCCTGCAACAGGGTCAGGCTGCCTCTTGGAAACACAACTGGCTGTCCCCTGTGCTCTGCTTCCAACCAGCACCCTCAAGTGCAAAGAGCATCGTTTTCCTTATCACCCACCTTACCACCTTTTCCTCTGTCAAAAAACCCTCACTAGGAACGTTCTGAAGTTCTCATTTCACTTCATACACTGGGAAGCAGTAAAAAAGCTGCTGGGGCAGCGTGACTCTGCGGGAGTAGAAAGGGAGCAGTGTCTTATTTTTTACTAGTGACTTGATCCCTTACCCCTCACAGCTCAATCCTCTAGAAACCGCTTTGAGTGCTAATTTCCTTCAGCAATTTATCTCTCAATGTGTACCTGCTAGGAAAAAAAACAACAGTGAAATGGATGGACTGTTTCTTTGCTGTGTCCCAGCAAGATAAACAGCTCAAGCAGTAAAACATCCCACAAAGAGGACGGCGTGGTGCTTTCAGGCCTCGGTCTGCCCTGCTGACCTCACGTGCACAGAGCAGAAAGGGAATGGACAGGGCAAAAGGGAAAATCAAACCTGTCAAGCTCGGGGCAAGGCTGAGTTGGGTCAGTATGCAGAGTTGCTTAGGAAGCTTGTTGGGGCTTTTTTCCTCTTTTACCCTCAAAATGAGAAACCACTTTTTTTCCTACACAGTAGGCAAGAATATCACCCAGATCAGACGAGTCCTGTCCAGCGTTAGCATCCTGTAGGGACACTTCCTTCGAGTCCTGGCTGGGTAGAGAGAAAATGCTGGCAGAAAGCGACAGTCTGCAACGCAAAATAAATCCCAGAGTCACTGTGAGAGACTCCCAAGAATGGGGAGATCCTCCCCTGACGAGGATTCCCAGGCAAATGTACAAACCAAAGCAGACCTGTGGTTATCAAGCAAGGCCCTGAGTTACACTTCATTGCAGTATTACAGGAGTTTAAACGGGGCTTTACACACCTGGGGGGGGAGGGAATGTGTGTAAACGCTCACAAAGGTGTGCACACCTGTGCACTCACACTCACCCCCACCAGCCAGCTGCGCTCCTGTACCTCTGAGCAACTTCAGGAAGGAGCTGGATGTGGGTCCCAGGTCGGTGAGGCTGTCCTTTCGGGAGAGAAAGGGTTACGAGAACTTCTGCCACAGCTGTGGATAAGCAATATTAGTGAGCTGTTAGGTGTGCCCTCAGTATGGATCGTTCCCTAAAAAGTCTTGTAGCACTGAAAACAAGCGTGAGGCACATAGTCCCACCTCAGGGTGGTTTTTCCTGATAAGTGAGTGCATTATTGCCTCCTCAGGGGACAAGGGACACGTATCTGTCATGGTCAAGTCCAAAGCCAAAGTCCTCCAGCACAAAGAGCAGCACTGGCAGATACCTGTGCGAGGCTGCTTATGTACAAATGAGTTTTATCTGCTCCCATTGCCAACGTGGAGGCACAGCCCGACTTGAGACTGTGTGTCAGGGTCTGGGGTCTCCCAAAGGTCCCCTGGTTTTCAGAGGAGCAGTATGGAAGACAGAGGATTCCAAATTCTTTAACTGGTGTGTCGATGCGGATGACGCTCCTCATCTGCCTCGCTGCAGGAAGACAGAGGATCCTCCCAGATGGAATTCCAGCCACCCCGTTGTAATGAGCCCACCCCACAGCTTCCGTGGCACAGGTGGGGTTTTGTATTCAATCACAAGAGATTATGTTGTAAGTCTTCTGGAGGAGAGTTTGCTGCTGCTGCTG